CCCGTGCAACATGTATTTTCACTAAGTAACAAGCTTTTAAAGAAAGTTGAAATACCAAGTATTAGAACTCCTATTTTTCTCGTTTGCAATTCCCCTTTGGCCATGTAGGAATTGCGGCTGGCGACGGCGCGTTAATGGCCGGTGCGCGCGCCGCGACCCGCAACTATTCTCGCGGAATCCTCTTATCGAGCGTTAAATCAAGGCGGCCTTAGCCGCTGCATCGCTTCGCGCCCATTTTGGAGCGAAACGCGCGCAGGAATGGCCGCTTCGCCGAAAGGGGACCTTGAAAAATCCATGCGCCATGTCGCCCCTCCCGTGGCTTAACGCGCTGTCTTACGCGGGGAATAATACATTAGTACTGCAGGCGTTCTGGGAACAGGCGCCCCTTCGCAATAACGGCAGTGGGGCGCGACAGAATGTGGACGGGAACGTCGCTCGGTTATTGCACGAAGTGTGATAGCTGGAACGCACTGCGACTTCGAGCCTTTTGAACTAAATAATGACATTGACGCCCGACTGAATCCATAACGAAGAGTGGTCTATAGCCACAGGGACTCTTTGCATATCCCCTCTTTCCCAACAGATCAGCAGTAACGTGTGTTGGCTTATCGTTTTCTTATAAGCTTGGGAACGCTCCTTTCTCCTGCGTACATTTTAGATAATGGGTGAATGAGTTCACTTATAGTTTCAGTGAACCCAATGTTAATTTAAGTGTTTTATCGCCTATTAGTGTTTTCCTTCTGACAACATTAAGAACTCAGTCGCATGAATACCTTATTCGTCTTGACACCCCGCTTTGCACGCCCGTCTCCGTGATTTTGACTCATTTATGTACAGCACTGTGAATTATGAACTTCTGAAATTGGGAACATGATTTGGGAAGATTCCTTCCCCCATTGCATTTCATTTTGTTGTTGTTGTCTTAATTGTGAGTGAGCGCGTGTGTGTGTGCGTGCGGCAGGGTCGGAGGGCGGCGAGGAGAGCGGCGACGACGCCGAGGGCGGCGAGGGCGCGCCCGCCGAGAAGCCCAAGCCCGTGTACGTGTGCCGCGCGCGCCACCACGGCGTGTGGGTGTCGGGGGCGCTGCGCCCAGACACGGGCCGCTGCCACGTGGCGCTGCAGGGCCACGCCGAGCGGTACGACACCTTCCAGGTACGCAGCCTCTTGTTATCTTTCGAGATGCAGGTAATGTGTGTAGAAACAATCAGACCGCCACGCCCGACATAAATATTAATATTTGCTTTTGTGTTTTAACTCCTAAAGCTCTCACGTGAAAATGGACAAAATACCTGTCTTACAAAAATAAATAAAAAGTTAAGAATGTATTTGGTTCAGAACTGGAGTTGTCCTGAAATAATGAAGTCAATAATTATTTGCTTGCAAAGTAAAAAGAAGCAAGAAACACTTTATTGAAAATAAATTATTTTTAAGTTCATTTACGGAAATAACCTTTGCCAGGATTCATTTTGTGTTGTACTCTATCCTTTCCGGAGTTGTTTTTTCAGTTTTTTTCCGAGGGTTGTAGTACATATTTATTTATGTATTCACACGGTTTGGGGTAGCTGAGCTTTCGTTCTTATCCTGATGCAGGATGGGATAAGAGCTTGGAGAGAAGGAGTGATACAAAATTTGGGTTTGTCTTTATTAACAAGGGTGTTACGTGTGCGTTGTAGGGATCAACATTGCCGAAGGGATCTTGCCGTGAACTCCTTTATCCCTCACAATTACAGCGTGTCTCGGAATAAACCTTACAAACTTCTTGGGCTAGTCAATGATCACTTTTGCCAATGAGCATGTTGTGGGAAATTCCATATAACTCAGGTGCACGTTCTGGCATTTATTCTGAGGCACCCTGTGCAGCGGCTAGGCCCCGTTCTGGCATCCTGTGTACGAGTAGAATCTGAGCGTAGGTCGGCAAAGGCGGAGCGGAGGCTGCGTGGAGGTAAGACCGGTGCGGTGTGGGCGCAGGTGCTGCAGAACGTGGACGGCGGCGCGCGCCTGTCGTGGCGCGGCTGGTCCAAGTTCCCGCTGGACACCAAGGGCGCCGTGGCGTGCGCCGACAGCAAGGTGTACGTGGCGCGGCGCGCGGTGGCCGCTGACGACGCCGCGGGCACGGCGGCCGGCGTCTCGCACTACGTGGGCCGCTTCGACACCAACGACGGCTTCGGCCGCATCTTCGTCTTGACTGAGGTGCGTATGCGCCACACAAGGCACACATGCGACGACGCGCAGACGTACGCGAAAGCGGGAGGGGGAACACGCCGTGGCCCCACAGTGATACGTAACATTTTACTTCCGTTAATTCCCCCTCCTTTTCTAAAACTGAGAATCTGCTGAATTGTTCACACATGTTTGGAAAAGGGGCTCTCTCCAAGACATCTGGCAACCCTGCAAATGGTTCGACTTAAAATCTATGGTTTTAATTCATTGTATCATTACAGTTGGGCCCAGAAATGTTGCTTTGTTACGACTCGTTTTAGGCTGCACTCGCTTAAGGAGGACGTGGGTCTTTATAAGAGAGAAAGACAAGTGAAACAGAGAAATATGCAGGGAAGTAATTAATAATATACAAGTTCGAAATGATATAAGCGAATCGTAAAAAATAGAACAAGACCAAATAAATTAATTATTTGATCTATCTTAACGTTTTCTGGTTGGTCATTCGTTTAAACACACATTTTTAAGGAAAAATTTGTGTATTGTAGCTTTTTGTAAGTGGTTTCATTATGTCAGTTATTTGCGTAATTTTAGTGTCGTTTGATGGCAACATTTCTGTTTACCAACAGCGTCATTAACTGTTTCGGAGACTATATTGAGACATCTGAAGGCTGAATAGAACTGCAAAGTCAGACAGGGCTGGTCGAGAGCATCAATTTCGGCCCGGGGCTGAGCCCCGTTTGTTTTCGTCAACGCTATTCCCGCGGTGGCGGCGTAGGTGGCTTTCCTGTCACGCGCGCGCCGCGCGCGCCGCGCGCCGGGCATTTGAAAAAGGGGGGCGGCGGAGCGGGGGGGGGGGGGTGTCCGAATCAGGGCCATTCGTCTCAGCGCCCCTGCGGCGGAAGGCCCTGAGGGGCCCGGGGGCGGGTGGCGTGAGGGCTTTTGGAGCCGCAGCGCGCGGGTGCGCTGGCCGGGGAGGAGTCGAGAGCTGGGTCGACGACCGAGAAGAGAGTGGAGCCTAATCTCGCCCAAAGGGGGGCGGGTGGCGGAGAACAGGAAGCGGGGTGGCGGAGCGAGAAGGAGTGCAGGGTGGGCAAATGGTGTGGAAGGCCCGCAGTGCTAAAGCGAGGCGGACGGGCGCTGAGGGGAGCGGGAGGGAAGAGGCGGGGGGGGGATGCCTGATCTGCAGACGTCGTCGCAATTGCGCACCTGGTACAGGACGGGCTGGGGGGGGGGGGATTGGGCCGAGAAGCTGCGGTAGGATCGGGCAGAGTGTTTTCGTGGGGGGAACAGCGTCGGCTCGGCGGCCACGTGCCGAAGCTGGCCGGGGAGCTGCGTGCAGAAGCGTGGCGGCCGCGGAGAGTGGGCGACGGGCGGGCAAGGCGCGGGTAAGGCTGGGCTTTGGGCGGCGCGGGCGGGCGCGGGGCGGGTGCGGTTGGGCTCGGTGGGCGGGGCGAGCGCGGGTAAAGGGGCGGGTGCGAGGAAGGGCTGTGGCGGGCGCGGGGGCGAAAGGCCGAGCTGGACGGGAGACGGTCGGAGGCGGGGCGGGCGCGTGGGGCCGGCAGGCTGGCATCATGATGCGCGTCGCGTCGCTGCTCTCGCCCGCCGACGCCCCTCGGCCTACAAAGGCGTCTCTGCCTCTCCGCTTTTTTCTCGGGGAGAGGGTGAGCGGTATTGGCAAGGCATTGCCGGCATGTGCCTCGTGTGTAGAAGGGTGAAAGGCAGCAGCTCTTGGGGGCACTTGGGTTGAAAATCCGACGCTTACAAAAAGTGGTGGAAAACCTCGCAAACGAAAACAGACCGACTTTTATCGAAACAATCTCCGAGATAAACATCAATGATAAGTAAGTAGTTTATAGATTCGCTTACATTGGTTATCAAATGTGTGAAATGTTGTTCGTACCAATTATAGCGTTCTTTTAGTTTGATGTAGAAGCATCTCGAAAATTTCATAGCAAAAGATAATATAGCCAAACATTGTATAATCATGATAGCGTTATTATTATTGAAATAGTATGAAATAGTAAAAGAAAAGTAAACGTATATATTTATAGCACTGAAGAACTGAAAGATATGACGTACAAAATCAATTAAAAGCGGTTCATTCCTGCATTTGCCGCAGGGTGCCCGCATGGTAGGAGCAATATCATATGATATTTTTGGACGATGTTATTCTCAGACTGACAGCGTTCTTTTAGATCCTAAGTAATACCGTAACAAAAAAGTCTTCAGTAAACAAAGAAGGTCAGAAATTATAGTCACTTGAAATCTCGGATTTAGTGCTAGTTGTATGGCTCTCCAGTACCTTAATCCCGAAACTGTCAAAAACCGTATCTGTGCGAGGAGAAGCGTTGTTCTTCCAATGGCATATGTACTTGGCGCAGCTGTTGAAAAGATGCGTGTACGCTTGTGCGCAGGACGACGAGGAGAAGGTGTTCACGGACGGCGAGGTGCTGGTGGAGACGGAGCCCGTGCGCTACGAGCTGTCGGCCGTCGAGTTCAACAAGTGGCGCAAGCGCGAGGTGAAGCGCAAGGCGGTGCTGGCGACAGCGCTGCTGCGCAACGGCGCGGGCACCGAGCTCTTCGACGTGGACTCCATGGTGCAGTACGAGGCCAACTACACGCTGTACTGGGGCACTGCGCCGGCCACCATCAAGGGCCTGCCCACCGACGTGCGGCTGGCCAACGGCTCGCTCTTCGACCGCCAGATCAACTGGGGGCTCGAGGCCAGCGAGACCCGAAGAAACGTCTTCAAGTGAGTGCGCGCGCCCCCGGCTCAGCCGAACCCAGTTGCTCTTATCCTTCTTGGAAGCTTTCAGGAAAACCGACAACTTCCGATTTGTAATAGTGTAATTGAATTGTGATTGAAAAACACGACTTTTTATCGGAAACGAGCTTCATTTTTCGCCCCAGGTAGGGTTTTAAGGTAAGGTAAACAGATCTATTCGCGATGCCAATGCTTCCTCGATAATACTGATAGGAATTGCGTTACTTTCGCGCAATGATTGTTGTATTTTTTCGCTTTAAATTCGCATTGCAGTTAACATGCAACAGTATTTCACGCCAAAAACTGTGGGGTTGATACTTGATCTATTTTGAAAATTGTATTACCAATTTTTCCAAGGTATGTGATTCAAGATTAAAGAAAACACTCTTAAAGCGTTTTCTAACTCTGTGGAACATTTGTTGAATGACACTACGGAGGTGAAATGATTTTTCGAACTCATTGAATATTTCTTGAAGGTGTTTGATATTTCACAGGGCACAATATCAGTAATTCCCTTTGATACTATGCTGATTTCGGGAATCTGCCTATACGAATCTTTCCTGTTTCAATTCGTAAAAAGGTTACAAAAAACACTAGTCGACTAAAATATTTCGTTTGGCGCATTTTGAAAATTCGTCAACGTGCAGCATCTTCAGCATATTGAAGCTTCTCTCAGATGTTTGGAAGAACGTTCAAGACATTTTAGACTACGATTGTTGAAATTATTTCGAAACGCTACATCGCCTCCAGTACCGGCGGATGTAAGTAGTTAGAGAGTGTTTCGCATGCACGATTAAATAGTTGAACGGTAGATAGAGTGTAGTCCAAATTTCCACCGGCCCCGCGCATGCAGTCTTAAAACGCATTTTGGGGAAGTCCCGTTCTGAGGTGGTGATGTGCTGTTCGGCAGGGTGAGCCACATGCTGGCGCCGGGCACGGCGGTGAACGTGACGCTGCTGGGCAACAACACGGAGACCGAGCTCTTCTACCACGGGAAGCTCATCGCCTTCTACCCCGACGGCAACGCCATCCCGCGCAAGGTGAACGGCAGCCGGCGCGAGGTCGACATGAAGGACGTGTACGCCGAGTACGGGCCCGTGTACTACCTGCGCAACTTCTCGCTGGTGCCCACCACGACCACCACAACGACCACGACCACGACCACCACCACCACGACCACCACACCACACCACCCCGGCGCCGCGCCGCCCCAGCCGGCCAAGCCCAAGAAAGGCAGGACCAAGACGCGTACCGTCACGAGATAAAAGAACCGGCGACAACGGGATGTTGCCCGACAGGCGCTCTCCATTCAAGAGGGAGGACGCGTCAGCAGGAGCGCGGCGCGGCGGACAGCGGCCACAGCGGCGCCCCCGACGCGCCGCCGCTCCGCGCCCCCCTTGACCCACGTTGCGCGTGGTGCTGGCCAGCCTGGCCCGCGGCCGCGCGCTCGCCCGACACGGGTCGCGTAAGAGCGCCTCCCCGCGCCCGCAGCCGCCACGCCATCCCTCCGTTCGCTGTCGCACGCCCGCGCGTACTGCCCGGTTGGGACTGTGTTGGTCGCGAGAGACGGTGTGTGTATGATGTGTACATAGAGCGTAAGCTTACATAGTTAATATATTCTCATGTTATTCGTTTCCTCTACTACTATTTGTTTGTCTTCGTTTCGTAAACATTCCTATTCTCCGAGTCTACGAAGCCATTTTGCTAGTAAGTAGGAGCTACTTGTTTTAGTTATTTTTTTTATTTTTTATTTCTCCACTCATTGCCCATTCCTCTTTGTAAAATAGTTAAATGTGTACATAGCTTGTGTAAATAACGGGAATTTAAGGGGGAAGTCGCACCCGAGAGAGCGTCTGCCACGGTCTGTCATTCGAGTTGTCCGGGGTGGGTACCCGAGCCTTCTAGGATCCCCGCGAGGGACGCGCAGAGCCACAGGCATACATGTTCACTCGCCGATATTACGATTATTTTTTCGTCACTTTCACCGGCCTTGCCAACCGAGGCGGCCGACGGACGCGCGCGCGCGCGGAGGGGTTGGCAGCCCTTCACGCGCGGCTGGCCCCGTCCACGCCGCGCCGCGCCGACGTCCCTCAACCGCTTTCAATGACTTTCAAAAGTTATAATCAACGTATTACTATTACTGTAGCGTATCTTACGACTGATTTCAGCATAAGTAAAACTAAATGTTAATGCCATATTGTTGTGCAAATTACTTCAAGAATTGTTGGAAACCTACATAAACATGCTATACACTGTGGAAAAAAATTGTATCGCTTGTCTCATAAACAATAAATAAAATACCCACTATGCTACTGTATGGGAATGTGTCGACAGTGAAAATTAATCTGATGAACAATTTATGGGGGAGAGTGTGGATTCCAAAGCAGCAGTCGTCGCCGAGAGGTCAGATCCAGATGACGGCGGGGGGGGGGGGTCCCGTAGCTTCCCTGAAGGTGTCACCGACGTAGACCCCATCGAGTCCTACCCTGCGGTCAAAACGCTCGCCGCTCGCCTCAAAGGTTCACTTCCTCTTGCCAGACGCCATACAAGCGTTGTAATAGATCGCCACTGAATGCAACTCGTTTCACATTACGCATTTAAATAATTAATCGTTCGGCAATGGCATATATATTTGTAAGCTTCATTCTGCATTGAGTAAATTATTAAATATTTGTGTTCTTGGATAAAATATTCGTGGTTCAGATAAATAAAATGTATTTAGCCTGCCACAACTTAATGCAAAAAAGCATTAACATAGTTCTGCATGTAGTATTGTCCTCCTCGGGTACGTTCTGAATAATAATGTTCGATAATAAGCTTCTAATTTTGAAATTCTCTTAGCATCTGCATGCCTCGGTCAGATCTATTGCAAGGTAGTCTACACGCTTGTGGAAACACTAGAGTGCTTGAAGGTGAAACGAGACTAAAGTGAGACGAAAGGTATCTCTAGAAGTGAGTGGATGATTCTAGCCAAGTAGTTCCCATCCGGATGTAGCTCCCCTACATTACCCAACCTCCGAGTCCCCTCTGGCCATTCAGGCGGGGCCCGCGTCCGCAGCCGGCCTTTTCCGCCGCGCCACAGCCGTCTCGTGCAGTCCGTCTCCGGGAGACCACACACGTGAGTTACGTTTCTCGTAGCCGAGTTTTTCCGCCCACAACAGCCAGTCCACGTAGGCAAAGTAGAGTTTAGATGTGAGGTCGCGCGCCTGTGTTGTCCATTTAGGTGTACCTCTTTGTAGTTTGTACCTCTGCCTCCGAATCGAGAGAGGAAAGGAGGGGGTTTTAAAATGGGACGCATGCAAGTTGGAATCCGCATCCTCCACTCTGTGTGATATTTTTTTGTATTGTAACAATAAGGTTAAGGGAAGTTTGTATAATAATTAGCGTAAGGGCGCCTTTCGAGGCTCAGTCTCTTTCTTGTATAAATTTAAAGCAACTATTTTAAGATATCGTTTTAATATAATTCTTCAGTATCATTGCCAGTGAGAAGTATATGTAGTGAAACAGATGTAATGGAATAGTACAAAACAGTGAAGGAATGTATTTTCTTTATTTTATTAGGTGTGCATTTTGTGTAGACGATGTTCCTACATGATTAAAATAAAACATCCAAACTCTTTCTTTCTATTCAAATCCGAGTTCTGCACGTACACCTAACATTGAAAAATTCCAAAAAATGTTGACAAAAATATGTAACTTATTTAATGAAATAAAACAGTATTGGCCAAATCTAAGAATTTGCATCTATGTGAATAAAACTGAAATATTCCAATCGCATAACAATGATAATAAAATATGGACTGATTGTCACTGTTGTAATTGTGGGCACTGTACCAATTATTCTCCAAGTTTAAACCATAAAATCTCTACACAAAAAAACGTAGCTGTGTTGTGTTTGCTTATGATCGCCACGTTCCCCTCCCTTTGCGGTCCAGATACGTCGCAGGTAAGTGTTTCCCTATCTTTAGCTTTTATACCAGCGGTCGTTTCCCCCAACAGCAGCACCACGGAAGGGAGGCGGTACAGCTCGAACAAGGAAGCGTGCCTCCAACGCACAACACTCCGCCCCAGCTGATTAAATTAACGCGCGAGTGCGTGGCGGCGGTGAGGGTGGCCTTATCGCCTGGCTATCGACGCACACTTCCTTCACTTTCGATGTAGCTTCGCCGTCATTCGCGGAGCGGAGCGGGCCGGGACGGCAGGGACGTCGCTTTACGGCGTAGCACGCGGGGCGTTATGAAGAGAGAGAGTCTCATTACGGAGGCTGTACGTAGAGAAATTACGCGAATCGCTTATCGGGCGGCCAGAACGAGTGGGCAACGGCCGGTGGACACGCACCTGGCCGCTCGCCACCGCTCGGAGAAACGCCTTTTACAACGACAATGTCGGGGCGCCGTAATTCCTCCACGTAAATTACGGTCGTTCACGTTCACAGTCAAGATATTCTCAAATCTTGAACGGAATTTAAAACTCGACGCGAGAGTAATAATAGAGTAGATATCAAGAGAGTCAATTGAAAACTTTCGAAAACGACGTGTTCTTCACAAAGTAATACTTATTTACCGCATAATACTACTTACTATGCAATAGCTACATACTAAAAGTTATGATACGATGCTAAACTTGAAGGCAAAAGAATAAGGACAAAATGTAGCTGGTTTAATTCTCCTAACGCATTCAACTCTCCACGATTATACGGACAGTTAAGAAATTATCTCTTGCTGAGTAAAGAGTCTGTATCGTCTTGCTGATCATCAACGTAATTTGTCCTGACACTAAAACAATCGTTACTTTGTCCAGTCGTCCATAAAATGAAATACGAGGGAAAATTTTACGCCAATGATAAAGTAATGAAATGTAATATCATGAGAACCACAAGGAGGGCAACACTATTACGTATCACATTCCGACGAATTTTCTAGACATAGCTTTCAGCATATTTTATTTTTAATTAACATTTTATGTTTAACTTTATCCACCTTCAACTATCGTAAACTCTCTATTTTAACAAATGAGCACATTTTAGGGAACCTCTCGCCCACAATGAAATTCTTCTACACATCACCTGAGCTAATAATTTGTTACCACAATTTTTGCATTTTCTCCAAGCATTGGAGATTATTTTCAAAACTTAATTAACAAAATACTCGTACAAAAGAACACTTATCTAAAGTAAATTCCTGTTGAATCTACTCGTCGCAAGTTTCAATAATGTTAATGTCATATTATTTCTATTTCCATGAGTCACTATTCCTACGAAATTAATATTTGTCTGGTTATACAGTAAAAGACATGGGGAGAGGACAGAGGTGTTTAGTAATGTATCGAATGACACAGCTACTGGTAAGTTGAGGGAACGGTTGGTGCGGTTTTGCTTCAAAAGTAAAAAGCTAAAGCAATTAGTTAATCCATTGACTGGCTTTCGAAATAATTATTCTTGAAAGTAATTCATTTTTAATAATATTTCACACCTCGTTTTTTTTTACAAATCGTGCAAACTTTGAGAACTGACTTTACGAATTGCTAAAAAATAAGCTCACAGAAAATACTATGTATGTAGCACTGCATGGGTAGCTACCCAATGTAACCCCTGAATAAATAATTTCTCGTAGAGTTGGCTGAACGACGTCGCCCTCGCCCTGAGTCGTAAGGGCATTCCAGAAGGCAACGGCGCCCTCTCACGCGCAACGTGGCCCAACATGGCGGCGAAACATGCGAGCCTCGCCTTCACCGGCTTCCACTTTCAAAACCAGGAAATGCCAGCGTTCTGAGGCACAGTCTTTAAAATACCAAAACCCAAGGGCCACAGAGTTCTAGGGGGCAATTCTATTGAATATGAAAAGTCAACGAAAGCATTTCATTTTCTCCAAGGAAACGGAGTCGGGCTTATGAATCCGCGAGTACTACATCTGTAATGAGTTAGTTGTTCGCGACTCAGAAAAACGCTTATTTATTCTTGACTATGAATGATATTCTTATATCAAGCTTAATTAATATAGATTGAGTCGCTATATTTGTACTATTTAATGCATTTTCTCCACAATGTTCAAGAGCTTTTCCCCTTACTCTTCAATCCATCGTTACATATTTTATATTTGTCTACATGATTTCTTTTTATATTCATTTTCACTGAGATCGTCGGTTCGTAACTTAGAAATTCAGAAACTGTTCCAAAACAAGATCCGATGGATATTAGTATTAATTTTGGAAGAATTGTCACAATTCAAGCACTCTTATGAGCTGATTCCTCGAACCAGTAAAGGATGAGAGGACTCAAAGTTATCGCGAAGAAACATTGTTCTAAAATAATATTTTGTGGTACAGTCAAAATACAGACGAGAACCCATTTCTCCAAATAAATTTTCTTACCAACATAATCTCAGAAATTCATTTAATTCACCCCTGTTGCATGTACTTGACCATTAAAAATGCTATCACCAATTTCAATTTAGATTCGTTCAAAATGTACGTCGTCTATTACCGTCTCTTAGGGTACCGAACTCATTAAATTATCCGTCCACCTCACTTTAGATTTATTCCTTGACATCGCCTATTCATTTGACGCTTTCTGGCACCTTGGTATCATACATCAACTCTACCTAACAAGAAATATTAAATAGGCTTTCTTTCTTAATTGGAAGCAACTTATACTTCTTACCAGCCAACGCAGAAAGTATGAGTGTCCAAAGCTCTATGGTTTTTCAGGATTTACCTATTCGATATTCCTGAACTTGTTAAGTACACTCACACATTTCCACAAATGACACATTCAGCGTTGCAGCACACCACACGTTGCGGGATGCGATACTAACGTCGATGTTTTCAAGTTAAGAATATTTTTAATGAAACATCGGTTTATTAGAACTCGTTTTTACGTTTTCGATGTTTTGTTAGGCCTATAGTCACATTTTGTAAAAGAATGTGAAATAACTGATGTCACCATTGTCAGTTCATGTGCTTGATTAAAACGAAGGCCATTTGTTATACGTATGTCTGGAAGGGAATGAAGCGAAGGCTGTTGACAATCAGTCGCCCGACTTCCCTGAGGAAGCCTTCGACATGTCAGGCGAAACGTCGGCACCCCGGATAGCCGAGAATTCATGGATTCGAGCCGCGGAAGCTTACGTATAGGTCTGATCCTTGCGCTGACTGCGTGCGCTTAGACCACATTTTGTTAATATTGTTATTAATAATAATTTAATTAACGCCATTGTGAAATTAAATTCTCCTCCGCGAAACAATGCCAATTGTCTACGTCTCTAGAAGTTTCTGCCTTTGAGCGGGTGCTTCAATCATGTGTGCTAAGCGCACAGCATTGTATATCTCGGGTACACGATTCCCTCAATTTCAATTCCTGCCGCTGTCTAATGCAGCGCTTTCCCCTCTATCGCCACCGGGCGCAGCGCGGTCACAATAACCCATTTTGACACTACGCTTCAGTTAATGCGAACGTCAAGAAGAGACCGGGATACCCAATATAATCCTCAAACATCCTCTATCGATTTCCAGTGCCGCTTCCATCAAGGCAGCCTCTCCTTTGGTGGCGGCGGGCGGGGGCGCTAATCTCGCTGAGCCAACTGCGACGTACAGTGGGGCGAAATTGCGCACTTCATACGTTGGCGACTTCGTGACTAAGTGCGCACAGATGTCCAAATCACGTGTTTCCCCCTACATTCTCAAAGTTAAATTAATGTTTGCTGTGTTCCTTTCAAGGCCAGACCGCCCGACCCCCACCCCCACACCCCAAAAAAGAAAGCATGATTCAACTCTTTACCCTTAAAACTTCTTTACTCTTACCACTTTCACTCTCTTCCTTCCTCACTCATTCACACTCTCTTTCTTTCTCACTCACACACGATTACGTCAGTTATCAGCAGGCATGTCTCAATATCATTTCATCATGCCTAATGAAATTCATTGGAATATTCAATCATTTGTCCATATAGACCTGTAACTATACTTCCTAGAGCACACACATCAGAGGCACACTCAGTCAACTTTCGAAAGCTATGAACTGATGTTCCTCTGGTGCTCCAATTTTACGAACCTCGCCTCCCTGTACCTCTCTTTTCATTCGTTATTTATTGCGATCATGACCCTTTACAATTCGACCCAGTGTGCGACTTGTATAGCCGGGACCCATTCAGCTCTGCGTCTACCGGCTCAATTCTAGTTGCCGAGGCTCAGCGCAGAACAGGCCACACACGGCAGGCGAGCGCGCGCGGACCCGCCCAACCCGACGCAGGGGGGGGGGGGCGGCTGAGGCACAAAGCTGCTGCTCCAGAATGCACGGCATGGGGCGGAACGGGGGTAATTGGAATAGGAGAGAGAGAGGCATATGATGCCCAGACTGTTGACAAGAATGTGCACACAATCGTGACCCGTAACAAAATAAAAAAGGGCATGCAGATTAACACTATTAAGTTAATTGTTTAATAAAAATTATAAAATTTCTCCTTTCTCAAAGGGTCGGGATTGATTACCAAAGATAACATTCAGAACAGCCAACGTACAAAAATCTAGTAAAATGAAACGCAACGTACAATTTCAGAACATCAGTTTCATTTACACTTTACCGAGATGGAGAAAAACAAACATTTCTTCTGCAATTAGTACATCGAAACATAAAAATAGCTGAATTGCTTCCGACGACTTAGTTATTTTTTCCACAACAAAATGGATTACAGTTTACGAAAGTTCATTTTGTCTATTGCTAATGATCATTTCATTCTGTCATAGGCCCTGTCCATGTTGAAAAAAGGAGAGAACGGTTGGAGCACTCGTGCCTAGTTGAGAATTCTGCCTTCCGAAAAGCTCTTGCAACTATTGTGACCCTTTATAAACATAGGAAGTGACGAATACAGAGAGA